ATCACTGACAGTGGCGTCATAGACGCAAATGATGCAGACATCATCTTCTGTAGGTGCTCTAGCAGCGCGTTTTCGTAACTTGAAATCGCTTTTAGACGGGCAATGATTGCCTCGGGACCTTGTGCCACAAGGAGTTGCACACCCTCAGGGCCAAGCAAGGACATCAGCTTATAAAGCCCGTCCTGCTTCTACTGGGGCAAAGAGGAAAATTCCATCATCCTCACAGAGGATCAGTCTAAGCGACTCAGGTGTAGATTGACTGCAAGTGCTACCAAGTGCAGCGAAGCTACCGTAGCTTATCGCTTGAGGAAGCTTAATTTAGATCACCAATCTTTACAAGAACCAGTGCGAGTGTAGCGGATCGCAATCCGCTTACTACAAGAGTAATTATTGCCTTCCCAAGGCTAATTGTCTCTTCGTTTTAAGATCCAAAACTGACTTTTATTTATTTTAATTGCGGCTAACCGGCCTAATTTTAAAGAATAGATTTTCCTAAATGATATAGTAAAATCTAAATACATGTATAACTACTGGCTATCTAGCCCCGTACCGTATTCTTGTTTGGGTGTGGTCACACCATGCACATCTGGTGTGACACACACCCCTGTTACCAGGGTGTGTGTAACCTCGCTACATAAATAGACTAAGTTACCACCAGCGTTTCAAAGGCGCATAGCGGTTTCGAAAAAGAGAGTAGACCATGCCCAGATGGAGTTGAGGAGCTTCTCCTTTTGTGACAGTGCTTCTCATAATCTATTGGCTCTCAAGAGCGGATTTGTGAAAATATACCGAAAAAATCACGTAGATTACAGGATGCGTTTGCATTCTCTTTGGGATGCAAAGCGTATCATTTTTTTTCGCCACGACCACGAAGGGTCTGATGTAGCGCGTTCGCGAAACAGTCTTCAAGGCCACAGACACTGTGTGTATAGGTAGGTCAATTGCTTTCAGCACCTTTCTACACGATGGTGTTTTTGATGTGTTTCGCCTGCCTCAGGTATCTGTGTGTTGCTAATTTCATCCTGCCTATCGGGCACATCGGACACAGTATCGCGCGCACCCTATCAATGAATTAAAAGCAAAAATTTGCTTCGAAAAGCACCCGGCCAAAATCAGCAAATCAAATTTGCTGAACAGTCTCTCACCCACAAGGCTCCAGCACTTTCGTGACAGTGCCAATGGCGCCTCGAGAGTATACCTATGTATATACGTGACGTAGGGTGGGGTGTTTTATCCATTGCATACTCAATGGAATGGAACGGTTTTGTAGCACCATAGTCGCTCCGTGCAAGTGCTCCGGCAATTATGCTCAATTTACGCACCAACGCTTTTCGTTTAGTCGGTTGTATAGGGGGTCATGTTGTGAGCTTGTCCAATCTGACGCTGGAGCACCTTGGGTGAGGGTTGTCAAAACGTTGCTAAACTGCTTAATTTTTATCCAATATACTAGCTTTCGCTTGCCATGATGGCGAAACCAATTGTCGCGGAACGGGTTGGCTGAATCCTGACTGAAACTAACTGATTTTTACGAATAGAAGACCTTCTACTATTACAAGCCCCCATCGAATTTTTGACAATGTTCTAGAAATAAAAGACCGCTTCGATTAAAAGACCTCTTCAAATAAAAGG